CTCTCCTCCATCTCTGCTCCTGGCTGACTCTCAGCCAGGCTGGGAGCTAAAGGCACAAGCCTGAGGTCACAGAACTGGTGCTGCCCTCTGACCCCACTGTTGGGAAACCCCTTCTCTGTCAGACTCAGGGGACCGCCAGGCTCAGCCCAGCCACACAGCATGGTGGGGACAGGGAGATTGGCGTGCTTGTCCACACTGGGCACAGGACATGCTCCACCCAGCAGAGAAAGGGGACTAGCTCTCCAATCCTCAGAGCCTGGAGCTGCTTAGCTAGCAGTCAGAATGTGCAGCCATTATCCTGCTCCCAGCAGCCAGCCACCGTGGACCAGGCAGCTCTGCTCTCGGTCCCCTTCCAGGCCACAGAGAGTATAGCTGGCCGTGGTCCTCTACCTAGAGACAGGCAGAACAGCACCTGAGAGCACAAGACATGTCATAATTGTCACCCGTGGGCCAAACCTTGCCTGCCACTTGTTTTTGTGTGAACTGCAAGCTAAGCATGGGTTTTACGTATTTTTGATGGTCGGAAAGACATCAAAAGGAGAATGATGGTTTGTGACATGCAACAATTATATGAAGTTCAATAGTTAGTGTCCATGAATAATGTCTTGTTAGATTATAGTCGAGTCTAAGCTTGTACCATTCAGCGCAGGACAGCCAATAAGTAGAGAGACAAGGTGTTGGGACAAGGAAAGCGACTTTTATTCAGAGAGCCAGCAAAAAGAGGAGATGGAGGACTAGTGCCTTAAAGTTCATCTGAAGTTACTGTGAACTTCAGGTTCCTTTGTATCGTAGAGGAAGGGGAAAGGGAGGATTTGGGTTCCAAGAGGCAACCAAGGGCTGCAGACATCTGGACGTCAGTGAGGATCTAGGGAAGTTGTAAAACTTCTTTGTTCTTGGTCAGTTAACTTACGCGGGTTCAGGCTGCAATGTCTCTATACATCTTTAACACAGCATCGTGACTTGTGTGTACACTTTCCTTACGTCCTTATGAGTTAGCTTTGGGAAAGGGACAGTTATCATCGTTCTTCTAACCTACATGCAGAGCTAAGCAGAGACTTTTAACCTAAAGGCCATCACCGCAGGGGATCAGCAGCAAAATGGAGCTAGTTATGCTAAGCCCCCCTCCCACTGTTGTAGGAACACAGCGACACCGTTTGTTTATGTAGTATTGTCTATCATGGCCACAACAGCGCAGTTGAGTTGTTGCAACGGAGACCGAATGGCCCACAAAGCCAAAATATTTTCTATCTGGCACTTCACAGAAAAAGTTTGCCAACCCTGGCATGGGTCATGGAAGGCTTTGGGTATCCTGGGAAAAGCCTTGGATTCAGAGACAAGAGACCTGGCTCTGAGCTCCTCTTGTATCATTTAGCAACTGTGTGCCCTTGGGCAAGCCACCTCTGAGCCTCAGCTTCCTTATCTGTGAGTGAGAATGTCAACAGGACCTGTGCCGCCTAGCATATGTGGCTGTTGTACGACGAAATGACATCCAGGATGTGTAAGTGGCTTGTGAACTGCAAATGCCTGCATGGATGTTCAGGACTGTTTGCCCTAGAAGGTGAATCGACCATGCCATAGAGGAAGGTGGCCTTCCCCCATATGGGATCCTCTGTGAATCTTTTCTTCACATCATTTCCCCCTATTTCTCTGGGTCCTCTGGCCTTTGGGCAGGGTTTTCTACTGTTCCTCCACCCTCCCTCTGCCCAGCTGCAGCCCCATCTCCTATGTGGGCATTTTGCTGTCTCACAGATTGCTATTCCAAGGGGTGAGTGCAAAATGCAAAAACCCACTTGTGACCAGTGTTGCAAGTTTGCGCTCACTGAAATTCTAGCCAAAGGAAGTTGGGTACTCTCATGTACCGTGTGGGGAAGGCTCGATGCACTCGCTGATGGGTGGCCAACAGCAAGAGAGTGGGCTCTGCTGTTGTCAGCCTTGCTCTCTCGTCAGTATATGCACGTATTTGCAGGGCAGGGCGGCATTGGGCAGCAGACCTGGTTTTGGAAAATAGCAAATTGGAAAGAGTGGGGTTCTGCTCGAAGAGGGAATGTGAAAAAAGGAAGGTAGAAAAGTAATATGATGAACCTCACTGTCCATTTATGGGGCCTTTGAAAGAATGGTTTTGTGAGGTGCACCTGTCCATCCCTGCTGCAGCTCTCATGCCCGCTGCAGTGTGATTGGTGGCCACCTGTCACACAAGGATCCTATTCTGTACCCAGCCACCACATGGAGACTCAGAGCCCCATCTGCCGTAGAAAGTTCCATAGAGGCTAGAGGAGAGTGCACCCTTGTTCCAGAATCAGCTTCCTCCGGCACTCTGTCCACCTGGGCGGGGGGCCCTTGTCCACCTCAGCCAGAAAGGCCTGGAAACCCCTTTCCACCTCAGCTCTGGCCGTGTGCTCCCGGGCCCTCAGCCTGTCTCCCAAAGTGCCCACTGTGGCTTGATGCTCTGCTCCTCTGGACTTTCCAGGACGTGGATGCTGTGTGTCCCCAAGGCCCTGCTTGGGCTCCTGCCTCCCAGGCCTCACTCGTACTGACCTGGGTGCCTCCTCTGCCACCTGAGATGCTTTCTGGATCTCCCGGCTTCCCTCCATGGCCCGCGGGGCTGCCTTTCCTGGTCAAATGTCACGGAATGGCAGATTAGAAAGGAGCCTTAGTGTTCCCACATCCTCTCACTGCCGCATTCTTTCCACAGCATCCCTGGCAGATGGCTGTCCACCTATGTGCTTGGCTCACAGTGACTGCTTAGGTGTCCCTAGAGACAGGACGCTCACTCCCCCAAGGGCATCCCATTCCTTTTTTGGATAGCCCTAGATACTAAAACATCTTCCTTTGGGTGAGCTAAAATCTCCTTCTTTACAATTCAACCCACTAATTCTAGTTCTGCCTTCTGGAATGATTCAGAATATTGGCTACTCTTTCTACAGTTGCTTCCCAGACCCTCTCATCTTTTCTCCTGCTTCACTGAGCCAGTTCTCCCCGGAGTCCCAGTGCCCTTCCGACAGACTGATGCATAGCGACAGCCTTCAGGGACTCTCAGTCTGGTGTCACCAGCCAAGGCGCCCTGGGCATCCTGCCACCCTGAAGAGGGGTCTTGCCTCTGTGTGAAGTGAGCCCTGGACTGGAGCTGGGAAAGGTTGTGAACCAAAACGAATGTTCTCAGAACCCTTCCAGCCGGGGAGGAAAGAACCAAGCCAGGGCAGGAGGCCCCTGGGACTTGGCAGATGGCAAGAGCAGAATCAGCTGGCCATGGCCAGGGCCCTCCTGGTCCTTACATACCACATGACTCAGAAACTCTAGGAGGGAAACCTGGAAATCTGCCTTTTTAACACCTGCCAGGTGGTCTGAGTGTGGCCCATGTTTTGAGCCCATAACCTCAGAGTTTCCTGGGTCTGGCGTCTGTCTCGATGGATCTTCATAGTTGATTGAGAGCTCATGGGAGCCTGCGAGTGACACTTTCTACGAGAGCCTTCAGTTAGGACTAGGATGGGAGGGTTCTTTCCTCCCCACTGATGAGTTTCTCTAAGCGAGAATTGAGGAGGAAACAGAGATGTCTGCTCTGGCTCAATGTTCCCACCAGGTCATGGAGCAGCTCTCGGGGGCTGTGCGTGGGCTGTCCACCTGGGCTGCTCTGTAGGGCCTGCACTGTGTCGTCTCTAGAAGGCTGGCCCTGTACTGCCTGGAGGACTAGAGATGAGGAAGGGACAAAATTAGGTTTCTCCTCATCTTTCCTATTTCAGTCTTTTGCCCTGAGCAGCTTCCCTGGGACTTTGAATTTCAGGAAATGTGATTGAATTTATTGGCCAACATACTTAATGAGACTCTAATGTGCACACCCAGCACCGTGCTGGGGATGCGGGAGAGACTACATCAGAGCAGGAAGTCCTGTTCCCAGCCCTCCGGTAGGTTCTTGAGGAAGTTAGAAGCCTTACCTACAGGAAACAACATGCATCACAAGGCAGCAGATGGCAAAACTTGGAGATCATTGGCCCAGATGACACAGCAGAGCTGAGGAACGCAGAAGAGAAAGACCCTGGAGGCTGGGGGATGGGTCAGGGCAGGCGCTAGGGAGGAGGTGAGTGGAGGAGCTGGGTCTCCATTAGAACAGCTCTAGTTTTTACCAGCTTCACACATTGGGTGTAAGGCATCTGAAAGAAAGGATTCTGCTGCGTAAAAGGAGAAAGCCCTCACTGTAGGAAGGGAAAGTGAGGGGAGAGCTGTCTCAGCCCTTGGAATTGTTGGCACCCAAAGAAAAGCTGGAGTCTCCTTCCCCTGACCACACACACCAACCCCTGGCCTTTGTCCTCCACCCTCGGGGGGCTCCAGCTGGGGAGACATGGTGCATCAGGTCTTCAAGTTGGCATTGAGCCCAGTCTCCCCTCGGGGCTATCGCTGAGGCTGAGGCATTTGGGGGTTACAGAGAATTAATTTCTGTTCAGTGAATGGAGCAAAGACACAGGAAGCAGATACAGGCCTTTAAGCGAGATAACCCCTGAGCATGTATCTGCTGGTCACTATTGGTGGCTCTTGATTTTGCATTGGACATGGCCTTGACAATTTACATGCAAATTTGATTTTCATCTGCTGAATCCAGTTTCCCCACTGAATTTCTACACTGTGATGAAGTTGTGGAAAATGGATCAGAAAAGGTGGAGGACATGCAGGGGGCCCAGTTGGAGGCATTTCAATAATTCAGGGGGATACGCTGGTGGGTTGGTTCTGGTGGCAGCTTGGGTCTGGGATGATTCATGTATCCCAAGGTAATCTGCTAGCTGATGAAAACAGAAAGTCCCCTTTACCTCTGATTTATTTTGTGCGTCTAGTTTAGCAATGACCATTTGGAACCAATGTCGAGTGACTTGTTTCTTGCTCTGTTATTGACAGTGATGACAATTCATGCATTGCTGGGGGAAGAGTGGATGGTCTGGTAGCTACTTTGGGGCCTCTATTCTTCTCTTCTCAGGATCCTAATGAACTAAGGCTTTCTCTGTCCTTGTTCTCAGGTAACAAGTATGAAGTCAGGGTGTATACTGGTGACGTAATTGGTGCAGGGACGGATGCTGATGTCGTCATCAATATCTTTGGAGAGTATGGAGACACAGGTAATGGGTTAGAATCCTTCCGTTATAAGCCATGCCTTAGGACTGCACTGTTTCCCAGAATCCTGGCTGCGGAAGGGAGCTTGAGCCCTTTTTGGGTTCCTCTGTTGAGTCTCTCTCTCCTTGTGTTGTGGTTTGTCATGGCCATTCCTGGACAGCAGGGTGTCCATTTTGTGTTACAAAATTTATGCATGTGATGTGTTTTCAGAATAAAGTATGTCCAGTTTTGAGTTCATTCACATTGTCCTGTGTCCTAGACCACGAACACTCCCAAGCCCTACCTCTCTAGGGGACCCCGTCTCACTCTCTTTCTGTCCCTAGCTCCATGCACACGTTGAATTATACTTTGGGAGGTGGCTGGGCATGGCCTGATTCTGTGTAGTGGTCTGGGCAGACTCAGATGGGACTGGGGCTGGGGATAGAACTGGACTTGGCATCACAGGGGAAGCAGGAATTGAGGGCACAGACACAGGTGCAGGTGTTGGGGGGAATTCCAGGTCAGAACTGAGACAGGTGGTTTTCTCCTGCTCCTGCCAATTTAACAGGATACCATAGGATTCAGAAAAGCTACACAGACATGTGAATTTTGGACACAATATATTAAAGAATTCAAAATGCATTTCTGAGCTTATAAGGAAAAAAAGAGAAATCTCCAGGTGCCAGAAGTGAAGAGGGAACTCAAAAACCAAAGTGTTAACTATGAATTGATGTTGTGGCTCTTGGAAGAAGAGAGCTTTCATGCTCAACAATCTAGAGGATGGGCTTTCATACCCATTTGGGGTCAGAAAATGAGACCTTGGCCCAGCATGTGGCAAGAGGTTTGAAATTAAAACTGCACATAAAACCAGGAGCCCTGAAGGTTCATAGGGACATCTTCAGTGAAAAAATAGACCAGGAAAAAAAATTGCTCATCAGTAAAGTAAACCTATCTTGGCAAGAACTCTAGCTTTAAAAAATTTGCTGAGAAACTGATACCTTAGGCCTGCACTACATGTGAGCTGGAGGTCTGATTTCACACTACAAGTGTTATTTGGAAACCCCTCTCCCCTAAGTACAGAAAACTGGTTCCGTGCCAGTGGTACCCTTGGATATTTGGCAGAAGCATTTGCAAGACTGCATGAAATTCCTACAGATAAAGTACTGAAGATGAGTTCACTTTCCAAAACTACAAAACACTCAAGTACGTAATCCATCATGACTAAACATCAATTGACACAACAAACAGTAAGATTAAGTTCTTGAGAATTTTAAAGAATGCAGTAATTTGAGAAAGGCTATAACTTAAAATGTTCAAACTGATTAAGCACATAAAATATATAATTGAAGGGAAAAACAGCATCATGAAAAATATAGCAGAGGAAAAAAAAAAAACAAACCCCAAACAGACATATAGGAAATCAAAATATAGTTATAAACACTTAATGGGTGGTTTAAACAATGGAATACAATACAACTGGGAATGGTTAGAGAATTAGCGAACTACAAGATAAATTTGAGTAACATACTCATATGTCGCGCGCAGAGAGATAAAGGCTTGGAAAGTGTAAATGAGAGGTCGTGAGACTTGAAGGAGAGAATGAGAAGTTCTGACAGATACCGAACAGGAGTTCCAAAAACAGAGAATGTGGAGAATAGGTGAGAGGAAATAATCAAAGACATAATCGATGAAACTTTTTCATAATTGGGAGAAGATATGAATCTTCAGTTTAAAGTAGCAAAATCAGTCATTCAATAGGATAAATAAAAACAAATCCACATTGAGATACGTTGTAGTGAAACTAAAACCAAGGAGAAAGATCTTAGGAGAAAGCAGGTTTGTCAGATTACCTTCTGTGAAAGCACTTCTGTTGATAGTAAATTCCCATCAGCAACCAATAAACAGAGGCCATAAATCCATGGAATAATATTTTCTTTTTCCTTTTTTTAAATTTTCTTTTTTTCTTTATATAAAATATTTAAAATTACTAACTACCTTCTTTTATTTTTTTTTTCAACAGCAAAGGATAAGTCTTCAGACAAACATGGAATAATATTTTCAATATTCTGAGCAAGAATATATATCATCCTATAATCCTACACCAGTTAGGTTATCATTCAGAGTGAGGGGAAAATGTACAAATTTCTATGCAAGCAAGGAGAAATAGAATTCACCATTCATAAGATCTATGCTTAACCACATCTGTACCGCGCTCACCGGCCATGAAACCGTGCCCACAGCCGGCACTCATAGACCGCACAATAGTGTGTGCTGTGCATTGACGATGAATCCGTTTTGCTCTTGTGTGACGAGGAAAGCTTGAAAGCACTGAAAGCTTGTTTTACTTTACAGGCAGCTTTACTTGAAATGTAAACCAGAATAGGTAACATATACATATATGTTTTCATTATGTTATTTTTAAATGTTCACAATTTTATTTTGGTAAATGAAAAATTAGAAAAGTCATATCACGGCTGTCAGCTAAAATCACTGTGTGCGTTCATCTGTGGCTATCAACTATAGTTCACGCTTGTACCGAAGTGGTTAAACAACCATTAAAGAGTATACTTTAAGCAAAAGAAAATTGTACACAGAAGAAAGAGTGAGAAACAAGAAACAAAAGTGAGGAAAAAATTGATGACTATGTAACAAAGCTAAGCAAGCATTGACTATACAAAACAATGATAATAATTAGTGATATGAGAACATGAGAAAATGTGGACCCCAAACACTTAAAATCAATAATGTTTGAGAATGAAACAGGATCATAACAGTTGAAATACAGTAAATTCGTGGTCCCTGCCCATCTCCCCAGTCCCAGAAGAGCAGAGATAATGATTAACTGTACACTTTAATAAGCCAAGTATACACATTAAAATTATAGAAATAATCACCATAAAATAGACATGTATAACTTCTAAATCAACAGAAAGAGTAAAAGAAAACAAAGAATGAATCCAGTAGAAGGCAGGAAATGAGCATAGAGAAGAAAAGAAAAAGCAAAAAGTAAGATAAATGAATCAATAATCACAATAAATAGAATAAAATATCATCAGTAAAAAGATAGTCTCGTATTACATGAAAAGAAAAAAAACCAGCTTAAATACAATATATGATATAGAAAGTCTGAGAATAAATAGGATGGAATAAAGTATATCAGGAAAATGTCAACAACAGGGAAAAATATGGCATGGTTATATTAATGTCTGTCAAATTAAGCTGAAAGGCAAACCATTTTGTTAGAAATAAAAGTATATTAGACAATGACAAAATAAATAATGACGAAAAGAATAACGTAATAATTTTAAACTCATATAAATTTGACAACATATTCTCAAAATATGTGAGGCAAAAAATTCACAAAATTCTTGGAGAAACTTGACAAATACATCATCATAGTGGGAAATTTTAATACAATACTCTTAATAATTGATAAGTCAAATGGATAAAAATTTAGTATGAATGGAGAAGATTTTAACTACACAGTTAATAAGCTTGATCTAATGGAAGTACATAGAGTACTACATCCAACTTGTAAAGAATACACATTCTTATCAAACACGTAATGACCACATACTAAACCACAAAGCAAGTCTTAACAAACATAAATGAATCAATAACATAGAGACAACATTCTTTGATCATTAGGTAATAACATTAGAAGAAACTTCAATAAATCACCCCAGGTTGAAATTAAAAAGTACATTTCTAAGTAATTAATCAATTAAGGAAGAGATTATAAGGTGAATAATCTGGTAGCACATGTTATGTCATCACAATCATCACCATCACCATCTCCACCACCTGGGGCAGAATTTTTGGGGGGAAACTAACAGGGACATTAGCAATAGCGAGTATGCAGATTGCTGTTACCCATCACATACTTGGTCACTCCAGAAGGAGCTTGCATGGCAAGACCTCAGACCTGGGAGAGGGATGCTGGCTTTTGGGCTGGGAAGTCTTTAAGCTACATCATTGGAGAAGCGTTAGCCTCTTTCCTGGGGCTGGGGTCCAATAGCAATGTGGCATGGGAGAATCTTGGGCTCTAGTCATCTTCTGCCATATCAGCATTCATGCTGGGGGGAGCACAAGGCTCTCCCTGGGCATGGCAAAGAACCTGGGGTCCAAGCCTTGTGATTGTCACTATAGGATGTAGCCTGCTTTTTCACCTCAGCGTCCCCAAAGGATGGATTGTCTTAAGAACTTGCTATAGTCAGTTTCCAAGGAGACCTGTGATCATTAAGGAAACTAGAGCAGAAATTAAAATTCACCCATTACATTAGACCCAGAAGATTGTTCAGGCAAAATCTACCAAATAGACTGACAGTTAAGAAACTGTTAATCTCCATTATATACAAATTGTTTCAAAGAATAGGGAAAGAGGTAATGTGCCCTAGTTCATTTTATGATTTTTGATGCCAAAATTAGGCAGATAAATTAAGAGAAAGAAACATATAGATTAATCTCATTTATGAACAAAAACTCCAAAATTCTAAATAAGATATTAACAAATCAAATTAATAGATAAAAATATAGATAAATGATAAATAACTCCTATTCTGCAAGATTTATTCCAGGGACTCAAGGACAATTTAACATTAGTGAACCAATTCGTATAATTTATCACAGTAGCAGATTAAAGAGAACACACAGAATTATCTTGATAGATGCAGGAAAACGTGCAGTCATGACTTTAGAAAAAAACATAGAAAACTAGAAATAGAGAGAACACTTGAAAAGGATAAGGTTATCTACCAAATGTGGACAAATATCATGCTTAATTTTGAAAATTTGGAAGTACTCCCTTTAAAGCCAGGAACAAAAGAAATATTCTAACTAATCATTATTTCTATTCATAACAGAGCTGAAGGTCCTAGGGCACCCAAAAAAAGGACAAGAAAAAGAAATAAAAGCTATAATGGTTGAAAATGAAGAAACAAATATTCATTTTAATAAAAAATAATGATCATCTACAAAATCCAGGAGAATTTACCATTAGAACCAATAAGAAAGGAAGTTTAATAAA